CATGGGCTGCTAGCTCATCCTTGCTCTGTCAAAGGTTTCCAGCTGCATTGGCAAGAAAAAAATGAGTAAGTCTTTTCCTTTCATACATTTATACATTCCTTATACATATAAAGAGCAGATGGGTTGATGAGAAAAACACATACTCAAATGCATCAACATTTCATAGTGCAATGCACTGTATCAAATGCTTTTATCCAAATCTACAGAGATATGAAAGCTGGTACAGCATTGGGCAAGCAAGAAAAAGCCCATGGATTTGTTTCTCTAGGAACACACCTCCTGATTAAATGCATACTAACAAATGTGGATTGAAAGAACATCATGCAACTGATGCATTCGATGCATTTTAGAGCAACAAACCCATTTTCTTCACTTTCCAAATACATGATGCATATCAGATAGCAATATAATGGTTAATATTGAAAGAACTACTATAAAAACAATACAAATCTTTTTTCACACTGTGTCCAGGCAGTAATTTACTGTAAAAACTTTTTCTGGCATGCATTCCGGATGTGGAGGATGCACAATTTTTGGCACTGGAGAACTGCATCAAAAGCAAATTTTGTAGCTTTTGATTCAATTTCTAGTGGGTAAACTTAGTTTTAAAACATTCTGAGTCACAAAAAAGTCACTTAAATGTGTTTGTTGTTTAGAAGCAGAAGCACCATTATGTGGCAGTGAAATGGATATGGATGCAGAGGATCTACTGTAGATACAATGTATGCAGCCAGTATAGAGCACATTGAAGTGCATATTAATGGCTTTTCTTTGCTCCAGTTTCTTGTACCTTGCTGGAAACCCTGCTGGGTTAATGCATATCACACGGTTCCTTCTATTCCGACATACTGTATACTATAAACACATACGCGTGAACACCTCTGCTGTTACAATAAGCACCTAGACAAGCGAGACATCACCCTAAATAATTACATGCTGAAAAAGTACATTTGCCTCAGGATTGCCAGGTATGTGTAACAAAACTAGCCCGATGGCCAATCAAAAATAGCCCAATGACCACATCCCAAATATCAAAATATGCCATTCATATGCCTACTGTAAATGCATATTTTACGGCCACTGTTATGCTAATTGAAAAGCATTATATTGTAGCGATCATAAACACAGCTCAAAGCCTCCCTACCAGTGGCCTTCCTTCACAAAACGTGATATCTAATAGTTTTATCATTGGTAGAATGATTCATTTCAGTAAAAACCCTTAAACCCATGACCAATCCTGGCTACAGTTTTCTAGTCAACCCGGATTTACCTCCCTGCATCTAGTGGTACACTATCCCCCGGGTTCACAGACCAGGCTTAAGCTAGTCTAAAATGAACTAAGGTCTTAAGATTCCTGGCTTAATCTAAGCCCTGTGTGTGAAACTGGGCCCACATTCTGTCAGTACAGAAGCATCAAGAAAAGTCATAAAATAAGGAATAATTTCTGATATAGCAATCTGTCAGGCAAACAATAGAAATACTATATTTCGAGTCTGACATTTCCACAGATGGTGAAGAAATACCTCCAATCCCCCAAATGTAGGATTTTATGGTGTCTCTCACTAATTCGCCATCTGCACTTAATCTAGTTTGACTGCACTGAGAGTCGTGAGATTTTGAAGTATTTCAATTTGATAGCCTGACTTCGCCATACTCATATTCTGGTGAGAATGTGAGTCTGATACTGATCCATAGGGCTTTGATTATGAGGCGTGTCTTAACCAAACCAGGGAAAAAAAACCTCTTCACTCAGTAATGCCGAAGTGATGACACTTTGTAGGACAACTCGGAAGTTAGCGTCGCGTGGGTTCATTCGATCGAAAAGCTATGCATTTTCCCCATAGAGTTTTGGAAAATCGCAAAAAATAAGATCTGTGTTTAACAAAGAGTTGTGACCCTTACACATTTTGTCTATCAAGATCATCTTCACAAGTTAATCCAAAATTTTGAATCCTATATAAAGTTAAAAAAACACAAGCAGACACAATAAAGTTTAAAAAAACACAAGCAGGTTATAACTGGTGTGTTTTATGTCATAGATCAAAACGTGAAAATATTTAGAGGCTTTGTTCACCACACACCTTATTTTAGGCGATTTAGCAAAAAAACATTAAAAAACCCATAGACTTTATGGCAAGGGAACCGGAAGTACTAAAATGCTAACTCACTTCCGCGTTTTGGCCTACAAAGTGACATCATAACTTCGGCACTCTATTGGATAGACCAACAACCAATCAGAGCAACGCAGTAAGTCAGCTACATAGTTGCATATAGTTGTCAACAGAACTCAACTGCACGCACACTCCTAAAAAAACAGTGTTGCTTGCTTCTTTTAGTTGGTCATCCATGAGAGTGACCAAAGGAAAAACCACAACGATCACAGGGTTTTCATTGCATCCCATCTTCTTAGCGACCATCAGAGCCAGCTGATAAATTACACTTTTGCCGAATCCTGTAGGAAGGACGGATCGACATATTTCCGATCGACAAATGCAGTTCTCTGTTCGTCTATTAAAATCATGCGCTGTCGATTTCTTTTACAACAGACACGATGGAATATATCTCAATTCTCCAGCTGCAGCCATCTTTGAGGGAAACCAGTTCAAACCAAGTACTCTTTGATAATGTGATGATGTAATTACTCCTCAATGGATCGGGTCCTCCAGACCCAAAAAATGTTGTGGGCGGGGTTCGGGCTGGTATCCAGGCTAAATATTTTTAAGTATTTGAAGTCTAATTTCAATATCTCTCATAAATATTGATTACTGCATGCCGAAATGCCTTACATTTGTTTTAATTTATAATTTATTGTTACTTGAAATTATGTGTGTCTGTGTCAAAATAATTATCCGTTCCATTATCACTAACCTAACCACTCTGCAAAAGCAGAAGGTTTCTCATTCAGGCTGAGATACTGTATGTAAAATAACATGTCTGATTTGATGTAATGGAAAGAATGAACTATTCAAGAATGCACTAGACTAGACAAGATTAAGAGACAAGGTTACTTTGATGGCATTAATGAGTGCATTATCTGTATACTTAATGGGTTAATTAAATCAAAAGACAAGGGCACTGTTTCTGAAGATGTTTTCATGGCTTGCTTGTCAAAGCAAGAAATGTCATGCCAACATCCGTTAACTGAACTGTGGGGAGGTCTGTGAAAGCCCATAAGAGTCATGCAAAAAAACATGGGACGTTCCCCATGAGAACAAAACAAACAAAATGGGGACTGTTGTTCAGTTTCACTGAATTCACTTTTCATTAGTGATTCAAAGCTGATTTTCTGTCTGAAATTTCTAAAGTTAAAGAAGTAACCTGCTCCACTCTTTCTTCTTCTGGCACAGAGATGCAATTTTTCTTGTGTTATTAGAGAAATTATTAAAGGTTTCATTTATTCCAGCATGGAAAATGAAGGATATGAACACTCCAACCTATGGCCCAAATAAATACTGCACAGATCAAATGCATGCTCAAAATTTAGTAAGTTTTATTAATAATTAATATTATTTGAGCAGGGTAGAATAAAGTAATTTTACATTTATGAATAGACTTGAAATGCTAAATTTTGATTTTACATACAATTTTCTGAATAAAAGTGAGATCTACCAAAATAACTAACATCTCTGAAATATGATAGTTACAGTAAATATGATAAATCACTCAGAAACGTCGTGCCACATATGAATCAGGTCTGATAGATAGATAGATAGATAGATAGATAGATAGATAGATAGATAGATAGATAGATAGATAGATAGATAGATAGATAGATAGATAGATAGATACTCGACTTTTAAGATCATTATAAAAAAGTGTTTTAGTTTGTTACGCGTGTGATCTACATCAGATTGCACACCACTGCGGTATTTTTAAGGACACTTCTGGCACTCATTCCCAGTCACCTTCACCACCTGCGTGTAGATATCCCAGCAGGCTCCGCATACATTAGGGGAACATATTATGCGCAAAGATACATACCAATAATAACTGCACAAATCTAATAAAAAGCACATGCAAAATCATACACTCTGTAGTTACATTACCTCAGCTGTTTCAGAAAAAGTAGGCATCAGTCACCCCGTGTTTCCACAGGATTCCCCGTTGTGCTGCTAATGATGCCTCAGCTCTGGAGATCTGACTATACTGCTGCGTTGTACGCACATGCGGCTCCTCAGAGCAGACTCAGGTGAAGCCAAGCCACGCCTCTTGGGTAATATTCATGAGCGGCCACGCCTCCTCTACTTTGTGTCGCAGCGTCACTTCTCTAATGCATAGATTTACAGCAATTTAGATGTATTCCAGTTTTTTGAGAATGCAATGGATTTGTGCATTTATGGGGGATGTAGGGTTAAATGTGCGACCGTGGTGGCGCGGGGAGGGTCGATTCATTTGTATTGGTTGCCACCTAGAGGTTAGTATTAAAAATGCAACATGTAGGGGGCAGTGGGACACTTTTTTTGTGAATTCTGTCTGCCAAAATAAAATTCCCAAATCATATTTGTCATCGGTCTATATCTGTTAGATAAATAAATAAACACAATATACGTTTTTAAACAAAAAAACTCGATATTTTAAAGTCGTATCCACTTAATTAATTCCAACTGCTGATGTCCAAAACAATGATTTTGTAAATGTTATTTCCACTATTGCCATTACCCAAATGTTTAAAGTTTAAACTGTTTAAAATTAGCTATGTAGTGCATTTTAAATATTGGGGTATAATAGCTACATTTTAAATTATGGAATATCTTTTCATGATATCTTCTTTTTTCTTTTCAAATAATTGTGAGAAGGTTTCACATTAAAACAAATTAAGCTTTAGTTGCCAAGAGGAAAATCAGCCTTTTGGAATTTTGCATGTATTTCCTCCATAATCATGTTAGAAACTTTACTGCTAGTCAGACATTTACCGAATGAGTGCGTGCCTGTCTGTTTGTGTGTACGTGCCGTGCACAGATGGCAGCTGGAATGATGGGGAGGAGGAGGAGGGATTGCCGTGACGTCACGGGCTTCCTCGTCCAACACAAAACATGTTTCGATACAACCGTGAACCCTAGAAACGTTTACAGAGTCTGTTTTGATCATCAGGTGACAGCTTTGACATCAACTCCACATGGTAAGTGTCCAACAGCCTACCAATCTTAAATCATATGATCAACTGTTATTATTGTGTTGTCTCTCTCTGATATAACTGGACTGGTTAATGTGTCTGTCTGAGGGCTGTGTCTGGATACACGTCGCATTGCTTGAAATGAAAGCAGATAGCCTGCTAGCGACCTTAACTCAGAACAGGATTAGTAGTTTAAAGGGTTATTTTAGGTTTAAAGTTTGACGTTGCAGATCAAACTCCTAGTTTGACGAGGTAGGTTATGTTTGATTTTCCTTCAGCTCATAAAATTCAAACAATCTAAACTCAGCGTGGGGAATTACAGTCGCTAATGTGAGCGGCTAGCCCAGATCTACTAACGTTAGTGAAACACTGTATCATTATGTCCATGAGAATGTAAGAATATATCAACCGAGACGAAAACATTCGGTTATGGAATGTGTTTAAAGAATTATGTTCGGAAATATTAAATGTAATATAAAAGCATAATCGTCTAGCCGGTAAAGCAGTCTCATTGTAACGTTCCCCTTTCATTTTCATTAGACCTTTTGACGTAGCATATCCGTGTTTTGGTGTTTTGAATCGGTCACTACTAATATTGGATATATTTATGGATATTTAGCTAGTATTTACTCACAGGTGTCAGGAACCTGTGTGATCATGGTCTCTTTTAATTTTCATAATAGGGGAAGATGGAGTAATTTAGCCTACACGTTTAGAAATGACTGAGTTGCATTCATATATGGTTATGGAACTGTGTGTGTGTGTATATATATATATATATATAAGTATTTTTTAAAGGTGAATAAAGATAAACTTAAAATATATATATATATTTAAACAAATTAAGGATGCAAACATGACTAAATTCAGATGGCCCCATTCTACTCTACCATAGGTTAACAAAATATGTTTTAAATAATATATGGATATAGTCATTGTTGCGTCCTTAATTTGTTTTAAAATATCTATTATGAGTTTGTCTTTAATCCTTTTTAAATGATCTAACTAACTATACTTAAATAAATATTTTCTGCCTCCATTTTTGTGCCCATCAATTACTAAATATCACTTTTTGGGTTTTGAAAGATGTATTATTCGACCCTAATGGCCTTTTTAAAATGGCCACTGAAATTAACATTTTTGTGCTGACTGAATACAAGAAAGAGAGTTCTGTGACAAAAGCTGTTTGATTGTTGGTTTTATGTGTGTCAAAGCTTTTGTGTTAAAAGAGTGTGAATTGTAAATGTTACGGTTGGGTCTGTATAATGAGAATAGTTCCCACGCATCCTGTTGCTCTGGAGAACAGACACAGGTGGGCAACCTGTCACTGTAACACAGCACTGCCAAAATGTTGGTGTTTTGCTCCATGGCACTTGATCTCTTGTTGGATCAAAGATTGCTGAATCGTATCTGCTGGGAAGCAGCCACCTGTCCTTCAGAGATGAGATGAGAATCACTGTGTGCAATTCGATCCAGTGAGGTGCGTTTTGCTTTCGCTGCTTAGAAATCATATGTTTAGGGTAGTTTAACCGCCCAGAACTGTTATTCATTGTTCTCTCAAAGAGCTGGGGGGCAAGGTTATTTTTTATGTTGCTTTAACTATAAGAAACAGGGGCTTTCAAAGAATTTCAGAACTTGTGTGAGCTTGTACGTGAAAATCAGGTGTGCTGCCTACCAGAACGAAGCCAGAAAGCAATTTAATTTGCCTTTCGATATCCTATGTGTCCCAAAGTAAGGTTAGTGATATTTGCAAAAGGTTGTCACGGATGTCTGGCTTTAAAGCAATGAGGGATTCTCTGTGTACAAGGAAATTCAGATGACGACTCCTCACTATTGGAAACTATTCAATATTTGATAGCAAACACAGGCCTCAGCCTACACTAATGGTGCTCAGGTTACATCTCTCATTCACCCCTGAGAAATCTCTGGACTAAATAACAGTTTCATTGTCGGCTTTGAAGCTGGGATGTGATCATCCGGCTCATTAAAATCTAAGGTTCATGAGCAATTACATTTCACACTGGGATTTATCGTCATATTTCCTGTTAGAAATCGTTTTACAGGCACAAAATGGAGGTGTGATGGGAAAGTACTGAAGAACTGCTCACATGACACACTGTGAAAAAGTCCAGGCTGTTTTTGTTATTATGGATATGGAAAATTGGCTGCGTTCATCGCTAATTCCCCATAACACTCTCCATGGAAACACAACGGAAGCCCTTTTTTAAGAGATCTTTTCACTGTGACATTTTCCCATTTTTTTTTTGATTTGAGAATTAACTTGTATTGAAACTAATTAAATTATAATTTCATACAAAACTAACCTCAATTTTCATGACTAACTTTGTAAAAGCTGTGATTCATCTTTGGTCCAGTTTTTCTCCCAGCTTTCACATTATCTGTATTTGAGCTCAGAAGAGGGTTTCTTGTTAGCCTGTTTTTCCAGATTCATATCTAGCAAAGTGCTGAATCATTCAAATGAACACAAAGCCACTTTATAATGTAATACAGATGCTGATTTTCTCATTGGCTTGGCCATTGTCCAATTACACTCTCTGAATCTAATTCAAATAACGGTAATTTCCAAACTAAAAACAGCCGACAGACATTGCCCGGCCTCATATTTTACTGGATAATAGATTACATGGTTTTGAACTAGTTGAATTGGTGTCTGTCTGTTTGCAGGGGCGGATAGAGCGATGACCCCCGCTCGGCCTGTGGGACGTGTAGAGTGCTGCGTAGGAGAGAAGTAGCAAAGGATGGGAAGGAGGGTATGGGGCCTCTCCCAGGGCGTCCCAACTGCTGTGCTCTATGGCTCCCTGGCTCTGTTCGTCTCCATTCTCCACAACGTCTTCTTACTGTATTACGTGGAGACCTTTGTGTCTGTTTACAAGATCGACAAGTTATCGTTTTGGGTGGGAGAGGTAAGTTTATTTTATATAGTATCTGTTAACTATTTAGGGTTTGGGTTAGATTCTTGAATTAAAAAATAAATACATAGTTGTGTCTAAATAATTATAAAAAAAAGTTTGGTGTCAGTGAGATTTTTTTAAATGTATATATATATATATATATATATATATAAATATATTTGTGATTCAGCTAGGGCTGTCAAACGATTAATCGCGATTAATCACATCCAAAATAAAAGTTTGTGTTTACATAATATATGTGGGTGCACTGTGTAATTATTTTGTATATATATAAATACACACACAAGCATGTATATTTAAGAAAAATATATTATTTATATATAAAATATTTATATATAATATAAATTATATACAAATCTATATACAGTATATACATGAAAATATTTCTTAAATATATACAAGCATGTGTGTGTATTTATATATATATAAAATAATTATACACAGTGCACCCACATATATTATGTAAACACAAACTTTTATTTTAGATGCGATTAATCGTTTGACAGCCCTAGATTCAATAGATTTAAGATCTATTCAACTAGATTTAATACCTTTAAGACTTTTATAATGTTGCAAATGCTTTATATTTCAGTTGTACCCGTGCTATAATTCATTCATTGAAATAAATGTAATTGTATTGCCCTACTATATATCTGTCTGATTTAAAGTGGGCAGAATGCTATATCTAACAAGCCAAAATTAATGAGAATAACCATAATTTGTATCCTTCCAGTCAAATATTGCTCTGCAAACATGACAGCTTTAACTTGTCAGTGCTGGCAAATAACCATGATAAAAGCGGGATAATCCATGACTAGCTGTGCATTAAAAGATTTGAATGCACTCCACTTCACATCGGGTGCTTCTTTGTCTCCACGTCATGCATTAAAATCGTTTAAAGGGGCATTTGGCAACTATTTCCACTTAATAAAACAATTTAGAAATCATTTGAATGGTTCAATAACCTGTTCTGGAGAGAATGGTGACTTTCCCCGCTCCTCCCTGCTTTATGGCAATTCGACATAATTCTATGATGCTGTGTATGATGGATTACCCACTCTGTAGACATAGCTCCACACGATAAAGTTGGCCGGCTCTGGTAATAACAAAGGCACATGAGCAGCGGTAGGAAGGGGGAGGAAGGTGCCGCAAGTGAGTTTTTACATGACCGTGTTGTGAAAATATATGCCGCACAGCTGTAAAGGGAGCTCGATGAGAAAACATGCGACAATAAAAGTGAAAATCAGCGAAGAAATTATTGAATTATATTCATGAGTTGCCAAGTGCCCCTATAATGCACAGCTAGCCATGGCTTATCCTTTACATAAATACTTTCTATTCATCAAAAATCCTGTAGATAATGTATTATTTTTTTTTTCACAAAAATATTAAGCAGCAGAACTATTTTCAACCTTGATGATAATTATAAATATAATAATAATATATATTAAAATATATATATATATATATATATAAAATAAATGTTTCTTTAGTACCAAATCAGCATATTAGAACAATTTACTTAAGTAAATTGTGAGTAAAAAGTGAATAAATAGTGAGTAATAATGGAGTAATTCCCATCACAGAAATAAATTATATTTTAAAGTGTATTCAAATAGAAAACCATTACTTAAAATGAATAAAATTTCAAAATATTACTGTTTTTACTGTATTTGATCAAACAAATGCATTCTTGGTGAGCATAAGAGACTTCGTTTAAAAACATTTAAAAGAAATCTTACTGACCCCAAACTTTTAAACAGTTGTTTTAAACATTTTCTAATTATTACTTTTGAATTGTTTGTCTAAAAAGCATTAAAAGATTAATTTGTTATACTTTTATATAATCTTTATTTGTAAACTGAATATGAGACCAGTTATGTTTTTGTTTTGTTCATTTTGTGGTTTCTTTTCCATAGACCGTGTTTCTGATATGGAATAGCCTAAACGACCCTCTCTTTGGCTGGCTGAGTGACCGCTCATTCCTGAGTTCTCCACAGTACGATTATTCACTGGAACTGGAAATCCACACAGTTCGATAGGACGAGTACATGTCTAATGAATCTCTCTCTGTGTTTGATTGCTCAGGTCTGGGTCCCAGATCACATCCCCTGAGGTGGTTTTGAAGCGTCTGCAAGCACTCTCTCGTAGCGGGCCTCTCTTTGCCCTCTCGTTCCTGGCCTTCTGGGTGTCTTGGACCTGGCCTGGACTGCAGTTCCTCATCTGCCTGTGCCTTTACGATGGCTTCCTCACGGTGGTCGACCTCAACCACAACGCCCTCCTGGCTGATCTGGCCGTGTCTGCACATGACCGCACGCGCCTCAACTTCCACACTTCCTTGTTCAGTGCGATGGGCTCGCTGTCCGTTTTCCTCTCTTACTCCTTCTGGAACAAGGAAGACTTTTACTATTTCAGGCTCTTCTGTATGACTCTAGCCGCTCTCTCAATGCTAGGCTTTTACATTGTTTCACGTCTCCTGCGGCACCGGTTTCAGAACGAAGTCCTTCTACGCAAGAACGAGAGCCAAGCACTTGCTGAGTAAGAGTTACTGTTTTTCAGTGCTAAATATTACTTGTCATTTAGCAGTTACTTTTCATCTGAGGCAATTTGCACCACACTAACTGCAGAGCCGGTCCCCGTTGAGCAACCTGGGGTTTACTGCCACGCTCAAGGAAGGGATGTTGATAGCGATTGATATGAAAATGCAGTATTTGTTACCAGCTTTAGTCAAGGAATTTTTGACTCTTTAAAATGATTATTTTTGGCATCATTTGCTCAACCACACATTTTTTTCATCCAATATTATTTTCATTGCTGAAACATAAAAGGAGTTATTTTACACAATACCAAAATTTAGAGTGGCTGGACTAAAAATTTCAGCCCTAATGCCTGAAATGCTAACATTGTATCAAAGTTTATAGATAGACAATTAGCTTAGCTGTAGGCTAGTTATGGTTGTGGGTAGAGAGTTTTATTAAAGGTGCAGTAAGCGATTTCTGGTATATGAATAATTTGAATAATAGAATTAGTATATATCACTAAAACCACCGCCGTCCGGGTATGAATGAGTGAGTGAATCGGTGATTGTGAGGCAATATGTAAAGCGCTTTGGTGGCCATTGGCTCTGTGAAAGCGCTATATAAATGCAGTCCATAAAACAAACATGCCCAAATCCAAAAGGATCGCACCCGTAAATCTGCCTGAGGTTATGTCATGAAAGCAATTTGTGTTACTATGATTATTAATTTCGAATGTTTAATTGTTGCAAATGTGACAAGATTAAGGGATTATTGATCACTAAAAGGGCAATCATAGGAAAAAACATTTATTAGGAATATACTGACTCACTTTTGAGACCCACTTTAGGAGCTGATGCTTGAAATGGGCAGTGGAGTTGGTTTAAACGTTCCAGGCTTATTAATAATGCAAATGAACAAACAAGTGAAGATGACATGCGGGTATATTCAAGCAAAAGACCCCATATCTTAGTTCTGTGAAACACAGCAAAACCAACTTTACTCATGTCATGTATCAAGAAGCAATAAAGAAACCTCGGTGTCCGTTTTCTCGCTTAGGTCTCTTGGAAAGCTTCCCCAATATTAAATGTGGGTCTTGCCTGATTTTAACCCTTCTTTTCAAAGTTACATTCCTCTGGTCTTTATTATATTCTCTGCCATCTATCTCCTTCTATAGTAGTTCTGCGAATGTCTGTAATGTGCAATAAGCTCTCTCTCATGCATACGCCCCTTACTATACGGTCCGATCCACATTTCAACAATGTTTTTCAAAAATTACCAATTATAAAGTCGCTTACTGCAACTTTAACATAGATACTCATTGCTCATCCAATCAGAATTTGTCATCTTTTTATTTTATGTATTTTTTTTATTGCATGAATTTCTTTAACTTAACTTTTTCCTGATTTTCCTCCCGTTGGATTTCCCATCGTCCTTGACTTTCTTATAGACTGAGTGTCGGTCAAGCTCCTTTTACCTCACCTGGGAAGCCAGTCACTCTTGGAGAATATCTAAAGCAGCTGTCATGTCACAAGAACTTTATGTGGTTTGTCTCTATGAACCTTGTACAGGTAAATGTAAAAGTTAAAGTGGTATTGCCTAAAATCATCCAATTAGAGAACCAATTATATATATATATGTTCCTCTACCATCCACAGGTATTCCACTGCCATTTCAACAACAATTTCTTTCCTCTGTTTTTGGAGCACCTCCTGTCAGATCGTATCTCTGCCTCTACCGGTTCCTTCCTGCTAGGTACAGTAAGAGAGAAAAAAATGATTCACATGGCCACAGCACATCAAAAATACAGGCTATGTAGACCTGCTTGTGAGAACCTATTGTGAGGTTATGATTTCCGATATACATATATGAGGGTAAACGTGTGTGTGTAGTAAAATTTGTATTTGATTTATTCTCTATTTTCCTTTGACACAGGCTTTTCTTACATTGCACCTCATCTAAACAATCTCTACTTCTTGACGCTGTGCCAAAGACTGGGTGTCTACCAGGTTGTCCGCGGGCTCTTCCTCTTAAAGCTGGGCCTCAGCATAGCCATGCTTCTAGCAGGGGCGGACCAGGTGTACCTGCTCTGTATCTTTATTGCTAGGTGAGAATTGAGCTTCCCACAAGCCCTTCCATTTTCAGAAGTTCAACAGGTTCTTAATGTGTGAGTGAACCAAGTTTGTTTAAATATGCTAAATTATGTAATAGATCAAATATCCGCTGGTAAATTATTCCAGTCTATTGGGGCTTTAAACATAAAAGCTGTTTTACAGGGAAAAAAAAAAAACAAAACAAAAAAAGTTTTACCCAAGGAATAAAAAGTCTGGACAGTGTGTCTAACTTGATAATTAAAAGAGTAAGGTACAATATATTGTTGTAAATAACTAGGATATTTCAAATGAATACATTTGAATATAAATTCTGAAGAATATGTTGTCTTAAATGCAGAGATGGCCACTGAAGCGTATCATCCATTGTACAATGATGAGCAAAATCATCTCAAAACAAATCTGTGAAGTCTATTCTATTACATGTCATCAGCATAAAGTTGGAACATTACTTTTTTTTTAAATTAAAGGTAAATTATTGGGATAAATGAAAAAAGAAATGGTCCCAATATTGAGCCTTGGGTTACACCTCTTGTTTGAACCAGAAAATCTGATTTTTTCCCATTTAACACTACACATTGTTTTCTATTATGCAGGTTTGAATTAAACCACATAAAGACCAAAATTATGGAGTTTACCTTAAAGTAAATCTCGATCAACAATGATTTTTGCTATTCTTTATCTTTGACAAACATTTTCTCAATTTTTAAAGGAGTAGTTCACTTTAAAAAAAACTTTTGCTGAGAATTTACTCACCCCCATGTCATCCAAGATGTCCATGTCTTTCTTTCTTCAGTCGAAAAGTAATTAAGGAAATTCAACGGACGAAATTATTCAAAAAAAGATTCGTTCGACCTTCATTTTGATGACCGAGTTCAAACAGGAGATACACAAACGCGCATCACAGAACAGAGCAAGGCGAGCATTTGTGCTCATAAAACTTTAACTTTTTAATTTATTTTTGAATTGACCAATCGTTTCGCTAGATAAGACCCTTATTCATCGTCTGGTGTCGTTTAAAGCCCATTGAAGCTGCACTGAAACTGTAATTTGGACCCTGAACCATTTGGTTCCCAATGAAGTCCATTATATGGAGAAAAATCCTGGAATGTTTTCATCGAAAACCTTAATTTCTTTTCGACTGAAGAAAGAATGACATGGACATCTTGGATGACATGGGGGTGAGTAAATTATCAGCAAATGTTTTTTTTAAAAGTGAACTACTCCTTTAAGTTGACGAGATTAACACAGGTTAGTTCATAAAAAAATGCACATTAGCCTCTGAGAAATGATTCAAATAATCTTTCATCAGCATTCTCTTTTATCTATTTTTATTATTTTATTGTGTTGTTTGAATCTCTCCGTAGTAATCGCGTCTTCACCGAGGGAACTTGTAAACTTCTGAACCTGGTGATCACAGACCTAGTGGATGAGGACTTTGTGTTGAACCACCGGCAACAAGCAGCTTCTGCCCTGCTCTTTGGTATGGTTGCCTTGGTAACCAAGCCTGGTCAGACCTTTGCCCCTCTCATTGGTACCTGGCTGCTGTGTCTCTACACAGGTGTGTGCGCTGTGATTTATTTGAAATCTTTTGTAACATTGTAAATGTCTTAACTGATTTGATCTTTTGATCAATTTAATGCATCCTGAATAAAATACATTTCTAAGATTAAAATAGTCAAACTTTGAATTGGAAAATTGTCTTCAAGTCTCATCATTTCTCCTATCTTTTTCCAGGATATGACATCTTCGAGAGGAAGTCAGTGGCAGAAGCACCGATCGCAGCTCCTTCTTTCCCTGTGCCACTGCGTCAGGGTTGCTTTTACCTGCTGGTGTTTGTGCCCATTTCCTGTGCCCTTCTGCAGCTGCTGGCGTGGTCTCGCTTCACTCTGCATGGGCGAAGGCTTCAAAACATCAAGTCCCTGAGGCAAGGTGCCCAACACAGCCACCTCATTGATGTCAAGGCTATCTAATACTCCTATAGGGAGGGGAAGAGGAAGGAGAGATGAGTCGTGGGCATTCCCCTTGTCGAGGCATTCTACCAACAGGCCTCAAATAGATAATGGTGACGCCAAATACTGCAAAAGACACTTGAGAGAGAATGTAGGTCCCATCTCATTGAAACTTGCCTTATTTTCTATGTTTGCTAACGACTATTGAGTATGTGACCAAATATGAAAGGATTCGAACAATCTAGTGGTTTGGGACCATATTGAACAGTACTGCCACCCAAACCATCTGTTCTGAAGTTTCTGTGTATAGTTATATGGGATGATAATCAAGCCAAATCTAATCACATCTCCCTTGACTGTATGTTTTAACTGTATGTGAAGAAAAAAAAAACCCACACTGTTCTGAGAAAGGGCATGTTTACACTAAATGTTCAGCGGCATTCCAGGGATACATAATATGGAATTGCATGGATATCAGTGGCGGTTTTAACACTATCAGGACTTAATTCGGCCAGCTGTTAAAGTTGTTTTGTGGCTAGTAACATCTAGTGTGTATGACTTTTTTAAATTCATTCAGTTACTCATTCCTGTCGATGATTATCATTACTGAAAAATTCTGTATATTATATTTCACATGAACGTAAATGTGTTGTACTTGCATGTATAACTAACTTATTTTTGTACCAAATGTCCAAATTCACTTTATTTTTGTGTTTTACAAGCAGAGTTGTCAATTTGACTTATGAGAGGCAAATCATTCCTTGGCCAATTTGACGTTAAAGTTTTAAAGTTACCAAAATAGTTTTGTATAAGGGTTTTCCAAATTACATTTTTTATTGACAAATTTATATTCTTAACTTTTAGTAAAGATTTTTTTGTGTGTGTGTGAAATTTTATTATTTCAACTGTCAGATTTTTGCAAAACAAAAAAATTAACAAGAAGACACGTCTTAATATTTTAGTCCTTATATGGTTACATTTGTTTCTGTTTATCAAATACTGGTTGTTGCACAGCGGGCACATCTGATATTTGTGTCATATTTTATGGTTATTTATTTTAGGAAAAAAAATAGTTATAAGGATATATCAGTTTTAGTGTTTTTGCCCACTGCTCAAATCATTTTGCTTGCAAATAAATGTTTTATAACATTAAGGTCTTTGTGATGTTCTTGTCTTTTAAGTAGTTACTGATTTAGCATTGACCAATTTAAACTCTAAAATATAATAGTTCATACAGGCCTACAACCAAACCTTTTAAAAGATTCAGTTCATACGTTGTTACCCTGATTTAGCCATTTAACAAATTTACATACATTATAAATGTTTATAGCAAAACAAATGTGCATACATCTGGTGTGTAGGCTACTAAATGTCTGAAAGATCACCAAAATGAGGCACTACATGACAAAGTGTAGGTTTCAAATTACTTTTGTATAATTGGTTCCCATGAGGACACATACAGAAAAGAAGCCTCTAGAGATTTCAGCTTTCTGCCCCTTTGCCTAGAAAACTTTGAGATATAGCAAAGTTAATTGCAAATTGTGAATATGTTGATCACATGTACAGTAGTAGAACAAGTGCTCCCCTCAAAAACAATTGAGACTCAGAGATTCTGAATGTGACTTTTTTTTTCCTGTACTGTGTACGTCACCTGTCGGATGTTTGAGTAGTTTCCTATGTGGGAAGGACTGGATTATGTCAGCGAATTTAACAACTTCATGTCATTACAGCTCGAGTAAGAAATCCCCGTTATCCCCCCCTTTCACATAATTCCCTGAACTGATCTTGTTCTTGGTTATGACGAAGCTCCTCTTAAAAGGGCAACAGTCAATGACAGCTATTCAATCAATGTAATGGAAATGTAAAGCTGGGTCTGGGTTGAAAATATAGATATTTTCTGTGATAATTAGTCTCTCAAGAATAAAATAATCTGTCCTGTTACCAGCTCAAATTCGCAAAATTATTGTTTTCTAATAAATAAACCCAGGTAACAATGAACTCAGTCTGCAATATGTTAGCTGGGATGCTAATTAAAGGAGTAGTTCACTTTTTAAAAAAAAACTTTTGCTGATAAACTCACCCCCATGTCATCCAAGATGTCCGCGTCATTCTATCTTTCTTTCTTCAGTCGAAAAGAAATTAAGGTTTTTGATGAAAACATTCCTGGATTTTCTCCATATAATGGACTTCATTGGGAACCAAATGGTTCAAGGTCAAAATGATAGTTTTGATTGCAGCTTCAAAGGGCTTTAAACGACACCAGACGATCTTATCTACGACCCTTCGAGTCATGACTCCAAAAAAGATTTGTTCATTTTGATGAACGAACAGGAGAGTCACGAACGCTCATCACAGAACAGAGCAAGGCGAGCATTTGTGCTTATAAAACTTAAACTTTTTATGTAAATGTCAGATCGTTTCACTAGATAAGACCCTTCATCGTCTGGTGTCGTTTAAAGCCCTTTGAAGCTGCACTGAAACTCTCATTTGGACCTTGAACCGTTTGGTTCCCATTGAAGTCTATTATATGGAGAAAATCCTGGAATATTTTCATCAAAAACCTTAATTTCTTTTCAACTGAAGAAAGAAAGACATGGACATCTTGGATGACATGGGGGTGAGTAAATTATCAGCAAAAGTTTTTTTTTTAAAGTGAACAACTCCTTTAATAAGGGTGGTGTGGGTACTTATGTCCATAAAACTGTTTTTTAATAGTTGGCCAGGATGTTTTTTGTTCGTGAACAAATCATTGGTTTTGAATCAAATCTTTTGATTCTGAATGATTCGTTCTCATTCACTTCCAAGCACTCATATTTTCTCTTCCTTGAATAATACCAGAGACTATGATAATAATACACAAAAAGACACTCGCAGCTGGTCGCCGACTTCTGGTAAAACTTGCATAAAAACACTGATTACTGAAAGTGGATGAATCTTTTTAGTGAATTTGTTCAAAAGATTTGAGTCACTGGGCTGAATCAATATTCCTCTACTGATCTTAGCGACGAAGTTGCCCTTTTAAATAAAGCCCCGCCCAGTGGCTCGAAGCACCTCCTTTTTGCATGTCAAAGCAGTGATGAGTCACGTGATTGGCGGAGTGGTCGTTGAGAGAGGAGGAGCGAGTGTGAAGCTCTGTGTGTATTGAAACTCTCTTTTCTGTCCTTGCATTCCAACCCTCATCAAAGCCTGGACGAGAGAAGAGGAAAAACCATAAATAATACCATGGTGAGATCGGCTCGTTTTGAGGATCGACCCATGGATGCACGTTCTCAGGAATCAGCCACGATAGGATTCGGAACCAGCGAAGAAACGCACGCCTTTAATCCACTTTTAATTTCTTTTAAGCACTAAAGGCAGCGAGAGACGCTTGATGGGGGCCAAACAGAGACGTTTTCTTTTTCATTTTTAAAGAGGGACGCAAGATGGCAGATGACAGACACCAGTAGCAAGAACCACTCCGTTTCGCTGTCTGTTTATTTTCTGGAGGTGTATCGGAATAAGACCTCGTTTATTTCTCGCCCGAAGAGATCAAAGTGAAGGCACTTGGCAGTCCAGTTTTCTCTTGACTTGGTTACATACCAGTGTATGTTCTCTCTATGTTCCTTTGTTATAATGAGGGGGAAGTCTAGTATGCGCGTAGTCTACACATATGTGTAAGAATTAACCGATTGGTCTGGTTAAGATCGTTATTTTCTATGAAATTCAACTATAAAACACGCTACGTGGATATTAGATATAAATATTTTACTGTAAAGTGTAATGCACGTCTGTATGGAGAACCATTATAATCCTCTTTGGGGATAAAAATCTATGTCAGTGTAATGCTACGTCAAAATAGCAGCGGTAAAAAACAACAACAACAAAAGCCTAGTCGTGAGAATTATAATTTACTTTTAAAAAGCTTTTATTAGTCTCGCTCGAGGCTGTGCGCGAAAAACGGCCTATCAACGTGTCTTTACCTTGTAACGTTAAACGAGAAGCTGTCAAGCTGGTCGTCAGCAGACTGGATTATTCATAGTCGTAATAGATAACTAGTGGGCGAATCAGTGCCACACATGTAGGATATGAACAAGTGTGTTGGCATTTAAAGTCACAAGACAGAAAAGTCCACTTTAGTGCTGTGGCAACACCAAATTCTCGAGACGCCTACAGTTGACACAAACGAATGAAGAAGTGGGTGGTGTAATGATGTTGCCTTGAGCTGAAAGTATTCTCAGCTGGAGTATTCATACTCTCATTGGCACAAAGTTGAGGTTTGTGGGACCTAAAACAAGGTCCTTGTGGTTCACACTCCACCCGTTTCAGGTATCGCCAGAGGAAGGCCTATTTTATGCAGTTTTTTTTTTTCTACCTTGACTTGTGAGCATTAAACATGGCTGAGAACTGGAAGAACTGTCTCGAAGAAGAGCTCATATGCCCAATTTGTTTGAATGTGTTCTCGGAGCCAGTTCAGCTCCCTTGTAAACACAACTTCTGTCGCATGTGTATCAACGAGGCCTGGTCTAAAGATGCAGGAATGGTCCGCTGTCCCGAATGCAACCATGCCTACAGCCAAAAACCAGCTCTGGAGAAGAACCACAAGCTGTCCAACATTGTGGAGAAGTTCAACGCGTTGAACGTTGAGAAGACGCCAGCAGTCTTGCACTGCATTCTGTGCCGGCGTGGTCCTCCGCTTCAAGCCCAGAAGGTTTGCCTCAGGTGCAATGCTCCCTGCTGCCATTCCCACGTACAGACCCATCTCCAACAGCCGTCTTCCAACGCTGGACACTTGCTGGTGGATGCCGAGGACGTGCGGGCCTGGAGCTGTCCACAGCATGACGAGTACAGACTGTATCATTGTGAGACCGAGCATGTGGCCGTCTGCCAGTACTGCTGCTTCTCCAGATGTGCTACCAACCACGGCCATGCAGTGTGCGATATAGAAGTCAGACGAAACGATATCAGAGTAAGTGGCCAATTCTTCTTCACATGCTATGTCTTTTAGTTCCAGGTTCAAGGTTGTGGTTCACTTCTGGATTTGGTGGATGAGACGGTGAGGTCTATCGATGTAGTTGCTAACTATTCAGTCCCCTTCCCCCCTTTTTTTTTCCATATGAATGATAAACAATTGGGTAGAGCTCCAAACAATACCGAAGCTCTCCTCTGGGCTTATCTTCCCAGCACAGGTGCATCCTTGCGTGGCGTTTTGGGGAGGGGGAGGACTGCGACTGGAGAATTTAATGATGAGTCTTATTTTCTGTGGCACAGATGAGGGAAAAGGCCAGATTTGATTTCATTTACCCTTAACAACCCCTTGCATTTCCAAGGCACTCTGCAACAAAACAACCTGGATGATCTTGTTTTAAATAATCAGCATTGCACAATGCTATAGAAGATGTTTTTTTATATATATTATTTTCTTTATTTTATAGGCAATTCATGAACCTAAAACCAAATAAAACTCAGTGTCACAGCCAGAGTGGGGTTTTTGAACTGCTTCAATATTATACTTGCTCTTAATGTTTCATACATCTTTAGTTAATACTGGATGTGGATGAGAGTTAATACACATTATGCATTTTTACTTTACAGTAGCTTTATGTTTATTAAAAGTCAAGCAGTCCTCGCTTGCCTCTAATTTGATTAATGTGCTTGCTGTCAGAATAATTCCATTTATGTTGATTATATAAATCAGATGCCATCAGTTATCTCAGGCATTTCTGTGACATGCTAGCAATGAATGACCAATCAATCTACAAAATGAACTCATGTTGTTGTGTAGTCCAAGCTATTTGAAACTGAAACCATACCTGTTTGGGATGTTTTGGGATTTCCAGAGTTCTTTTTTGCAGGTAGCACGTGTTTTGTGGATCTTATGTTTACTGCCTCTGATGGACACCGTTGTCTTTCCACATTCATCTGCTACAAGGCAAAATGGCTCTGTCTGGGGCTGTAGCTCAGGGCAAGGTTGCTATTGCCTCGTTCACTCTGACCTTGGCGGAGGAGACGCTGGTTTGAAATGACAGTGATTTTGAGCACCCTACCCCCATTCCCCCTTGAGAGAGGTCCGTCCTGGATGGCAAGCCAGCACCGCTGCCATGAGGTATTAGGTTCCACCCTCCAGGCTTCTGCCGGCAGCCCGAGCTCATCAGTCACTACAATTAGGCCATGGTC